ACACACACACACACACACACACACACACACACACACACACACACACAACTCTGCCACCACATTATCAGTGAGACAGCACATCAGCACATTGCCTCTAGCCTTCTAAGGGAAGGAATTTTTCTTTGAAGCCTCATTAATACTTTTGAAGGTGGACAAATTTGATTAGCAGAACATCCCTCCGGAATTGAGGAAGAAAGAGACAGAGGAGGAGGGGAAAGCATATAGATGGCATGAACCAATTCTATAGATTTTTTTTTTAATTTTTTTATAGATTTTATTTATTTATTTGAGAGAGAGAATGAGATAGAGAGAGAGCACGAGAGGGAAGAGGGTCAGAGGGAGAAGCAGACTCCCCACCGAGCAGGGAGCCCGATGTGGGACTCGATCCCGGGACTCCAGGATCATGACCTGAGCCGAAGGCAGTCGCTTAACCAACTGAGCCACCCAGGCGCCCTAGATTTTTTTTTTTATTTTGACTAAAAATTCTGATGACCTGTAAGATAGTTTTAGGAAAATTCTTCTTTATCAGCCCTTTTACATTTATCAAATGACATGTTTGTTAAAGTCAGATCCTGAAGGATATGTGGAAACCCCCCAAATCCCAAATACCTTCCTTCCTTCCAAATTTACTTTCCGGGTTAAGCATTTCCTCACCCCACAATTTAGTTCTTCCCATCCACTTTCCTTTAGGACAGGAGGGACCTGGGGCATTAAGTGAAGAGGAAAAGGAGATTCTGGAAGGTGTCCCATTGGGCACCAAAGACAGACTTTGCCTACATCACTGTTCTCTTCAGAGATGGCCCTGGTGTCCTAAGACTGGAAGAGACACAGGTCCTGTGTTAGGTCTCCGTATTGGTCAGCATTAACTCCTGCTGACTGTGGCTTGCACAGGAGAGCTTGCTTCTCTCTCATACAAAAGAAGTCTACAGCAGACAGTCCAGGAGTAAGGACAGGCCAGTCAGGAGCCTCCACCGTCATAAGAGACTCCAGTTCCTTCTATCTTGTTCTTCCTCTGGGCCGAATTCCAGCCATCACGTCCTCAGTCGGCCAGCAGAAAGGGAAGGAGGGCACAGTCCCACCATTGATGGACACTTCCCAGAAGTCCCGTACAGGAGGACACCTGCCTTTCATTGGCCAGAATCTAGTCACATGACCACCGTTATCAACAGGGCAGGTTGGGAAATACCCTTTCCTCCAGTGATGATGGGCTCCACAAAAAACTCAGAGGTCCAAACGCTAAAGAAGGTGAGGAAGAATTAATGTTGAGGGCCGCTAGAAGGCTGCCACGGGATCATAGACCTGGTCTTGCTAAACCATCCTCCTCGTCTGTAACCTGAGTTCTTTCCAGCTTTCTGGAATTCTTTCCAGGCCCGGCATTAAAACTCACAAAGGAATCAATGTGATTACATTCAAAGACCATTTCCAAAGAAAAGCTCCAGAAAGCTCAGACCCCATGCTGTGATTGCCTATTAACTCCCCATTGTGATTTCAGCGGAAATTCTAGAACTGGCTGGGAATGCTGCAAGGGACAACAAGAAGGCCCGGATCGCGCCGAGACACATCCTGCTGGCAGTGGCCAATGACGAGGAGCTCAATCAGGTACGTCTGTCTGCAACATCTCGACCAGCCACAGAATGGGTTTGCCCGACACATGACCGCGTGTGGACCCGGTTGGCCATAAATCATTTTGCTACAATTCCCAAGCATATTAATACAAAAACAATTTTTCAGATCGTGTAAGAGAAGAACCAATTCTGCTAGTTCTATCATTCAGATAGAAAATTGCCTCTGGAATAGACCTGTTATCTACTCTGAGTCTTTCCAGACCTTCTTTTCCTGTCCAGAAGCGAGCTGTGTGTGTGGCTGGGGAAGGTGCAGTGCAGAGATGTTATTCACGGTTTCTTCACCCGAATTTTGTTGACAATTTATTCTGATGAGGGTAGGAGAATCTTCTTCATAGCATAGAATTAATTCCCTAGTGTTGTAATTCCCTAGTGTTGTGAATGCCTCCCCCAGGAAATGTGAGATGGATGGTAGATGGTATAAGAATTTTTATTCTAATCTCTTTCTTTTCAAGTTGTGTGCAATAAAGAATCAGTTCTTATTCCCAGTCCATCATGGACTGGTAATTTCCAAAAATACAATAAAAACTAATTGCCAGAAAAAATTTTAAAAACAAATACATACAAACCACAATTCTTGGCTATTCGATCCAGTAGATATACAGTACCTCTGTCCGCTTGCTCTACAAGTTTCTGGACTCTTCCTTGCCATTTCTGTATTTCTCTTGTCCCGGACAGTAACTGCCTGTCTGTGGACCAGCCCCGGCGGCAGCCCACACTTGGAGCACCCGAGCTGCTTCGGGATGTGACCACTATACTAATGTAGTGGCACATGTCGGTTATGTACAAAATAAACATTGATGGAGAGGCACACGGCCAAACCTACTTTACTGATGGAATAGTGATCACAAGAGCGTGGAGACCACTCGTCTGTTGTTAACCGGGTCTAGCCCTAGCATGGACCTTTGAACCCAGTTTTGTCAAGCTGTGCTCCCCACCTGGGAGGCTCTTTAGCCTCTCTTATGTCTGGAATTCCGCAGCCCCGGCAACATCCCTGGCTGCAGCCTCTATATCCTTTCATTGTGCCTTACTCGTTTTGCTTTTTGTACGAGACCATGGGACGCCTTGCTCCCTACAGACATACACTCTACTGGTGAAACAGGAAAGCCAATTAAACCACCCATCATGCAGTGTCTCTGGGAAAGCAAAGACCAGATTTAACACTTGTTTTGCCATCAGTTAGAACTGTATGAAATCCAGAACCAGCAAGCTCTTTGCTGCCTGAGTTCACGCATTTCTCTTTCTAGCTGCTAAAAGGAGTGACCATTGCCAGTGGAGGTGTCCTGCCCAGAATTCACCCCGAACTGCTGGCCAAAAAGCGAGGGACCAAAGGCAAGTCGGAAACTATCCTCTCCCCTCCCCCAGAGAAAAGGGGAAGGAAGGCGGCGTCAGGCAAGAAGGGAGGCAAGAAATCCAAGGCTGCCAAGCCACGGACGTCCAAAAAGGTGAGCCTGGGTTACCTGTGTGAGCCAGGGACTCTCAGAGAACAGGAGAAGGTGGAATGATCAGACGATGGGGGTGTAGTCAGCATTGCTGACGGGCTGGGGGCTCTCCCCGCTGGGAGAAAATGGCAAAGGGCCTCTGGGACAAGAGCTTAAATCACCAAGCAGGGTCTACTAGAGGTTTCCAAACTCAAAGCGTGGGTGGTCTTCACGTTGCCAGATGCTTCCCCTGCTCCCATCAAAATCTTAAGTGAGAGATGATAGCCTGGAGCTCTTCATTTCTCTTTAGAGCTCAGCATCGCGCACAAAAACGTCTCTGTCTCCCAGACTTGTGTCTCCTATAGACAGTCCCCTGGGTCCAGCCAGTGGGGTGTGGATAGCCTGATGTGCTAGGTAACCACAGCTCGGAGATGCCATTTGCAGGGTAAGACTTTCGTATGCGGCCCCGTACGATAATCACTAACCACATGTGGCCCTTTGAATTGGAATTCATTAAAGCGAAATCAGATTAAAAATTCAGTTCCTTGGTTGCATTACCCACATTTCAAGTGCTCACTAAGCATAGGACATTTCCATGATCGCAGAAAGTTCTATTGGACAACGTTGCTTCAGGGGCTGTCAAATTTCCATTTCACAGACCTCCTTCATAACACAAAAGATTTGTAAGAGTCCACTCCACTGCCTCCGTGCCCCAGGGAGATCCTGGGGAGAAGGGGGGTCGAACAGTGGGCTAGGAACGACCCTGCTTGGTTCTGATGCTTGCCATCGTAAGCTGCGGGCATTGCAGAGGACAAGAATAACATACCTGTGTCCAGGTTTGAGTGAGGAATACAGGGACCTGTGAAGCTCTTTAACACTCTTTCTTTTGGGCGGCACCCTTTTTTCCCCCCTCGTATTGCTGTCCCTTGCTTCCCTCCATCGAGAACAGCGGAACATTAACACCTAACCACTTCCTTTCACATCCAAGGTGGTGGTAGCCATAGGAAGAACTTAGTAACACCACTTGGGGCTTTTTCTGGGTTATTTCCCATCTGTCCTTCTGATTTCTACCAACAGTCCAAACCAAAGGACAGCGACAAAGAAGGAACTTCAAATTCCACCTCTGAAGATGGGCCAGGGGATGGATTCACCATTCTGTCTTCTAAGAGCCTTGTTCTAGGGCAGAAGGTAATAAAGACCATTGTAATCTGCTTTCGTAAAAATGTTATTGCATTTTTATAACCTCCTGTTCGCAAGCAATGATGCTTCCTTCATCCCTTGCTCCCCTAAAAGGACTTTCACTCAGGTCTTAAATTATTCACATTTAGACTAAAGAGCTTTGACAGGGTCTACGTTGTGAGCGTCAACAAGCTCTTCAGTGCTGAGAAGTATTCATGCTGACATCGGTCAGACAAAGATAAAGTTAGAGAATCTTCCTGGTCAGGCGACAGAATAGCGTCATTGCCGGGAACTCCCCGTGCCCCCCTCATTCCTGGGCCCCCCCAAAACATCCTTCGCTAACTTTCTCAAACAGCTCTGGGAGGCCAGGCTGACATGGTCCGATGTGATTTATCAGAAAAGGAAAATAGAAATATATGTTTCCTGAACATCCCCGGTGTTACAAATGAATTATTTGCCAATAATTCAGTCTGCTTGCCTTTCTAAGACTGCCGAAAGAAAACAAACGGGGCTATACGTTTGAATAGTCTGCAGCAGCCCAGACAGACATGCAAATAATTCATTCCCACTAGTATAAATTTTACGGAACAGACCATTTATCTATCATGTCAAACGGGGTTGAAGTAAGACACACACAGGAAAACAGTGAATCTCATCTCCGGTAGCTGAATGTTTGCAGCCTGGTAATAGGATCCACCTCTACTGAAGCAAATGGGAAGAGCGTGTTAGGGAAGAGTGTGCATGGGCCGGGTTCCTCATTTTTCACTGATGAACAAAGGGAAACAAAGAGGGGGAACTGAGGTCCCCTATGGGGGCTGGCCACAGCTGCATGACGATTAGCTTTCTCTCCCTTACGTAGGGGGACATGGCTGTCATGCTCACAGGGGAGACTATGGAAAATGCTCTGCATTCTGCTCAGCTGTGAGCACCTAGGGCAGCATTTCACAAGTGTAGCCCCAAGAACGTGGTCCCCAAAAGGTAAGGTGGCCCGACGGAGGCAGGTCAGAATCCCAGAGCCCATCACGTGTCTTGAGCAAGGTCCGTCGGCCACACACCCCTGCCCCCAGAGGTCTGGGTTGCTCCAGGAGGAATGCAGGGTGCTGAGGGGAGGGTGGAGAGCCAGCCCAGGCTTCCCTCCTAGGAGATGCTCCGACCGTGTGTCACCCCACACCAAGTTCCCCGGGCCTGGGAGACGGAGGCGTAGCTCTAGGGAAAGGAAGAAGAGGGGAGGGCCCTTTCCTGCTCCTGGAAGAGGAGGCAGATCTGTTGCACGCTGCCAGAGTCACAGTGAAAATCAAATCCACTGAGCTCCGAAGAGCCCACCGAAGACCAAACACCTGGCAAACTTGACAGTCGCTCAATGCCACAGCCCTGTGTGTGGACATTCGCTATAAATAACTGAGAGAATTCACAGATGGGAGGTAAAATGCGAAGATTTTTTTAATTGGATCTGATCTTTCCCGCCCTCCCCATCTTTCCTTCCTGACGCAGCTGTCCCTGACCCAGAGTGACATCAGCCATATTGGCTCCATGAGAGTGGAGGGCATTGTCCACCCAACCACAGCCGAAATTGACCTCAAGGAAGATATAGGTAAGGTCCTGAGACTTGGGTAGAGGTGCCAGAGAATCACCCACTGCTTGGGCAAGTCCTTCGGAAGTGGGTCATTGTCGACCAGATACCCTCTGCTGGGGGGGCCGTGTCACACTCTGCATGTCAGCGAACAACATTACTAGAAAATAACGAATTTTCTCTTTAATCTGCATATATTTCTGAAACGTGTATTGAGGTGCTCTATAAAAACAGATCATTAGTGCACACCTTGATGACTTTTCCTCTAAGTGAACACAGCTGTGTAACAGGCACCTTGATCACGGAGCAGAACCTCCCCGGCACCCCAGAATTCCCCCTTCCTGCCCCGTCCCGGGTCCCCATTCCCTCCAAGCGTCGCCCCTGTCCTGTCTTCCCATGGCACAGATGGCTGTCCTCTGCTTTGGATTTTATAGAAATGAAATCATGCAGTGCGTCTTCTTTTGTGTCTTTTGCCCAACTTTGTGTCGTGAGACCCACTCGAATTGTCGAGCCTGGCAGAAGTTGGCTCATCTTGGCCGGGTAGTATTCCACCGTGGGACTGTACGGCAGTGTGCCGACCATTCCACCACTGGTACCATTCGCATAGCTTCCAGTTTGGGCCACAGGGAGTAGTGGGGCTGTAAACATTGCCATACGTGTTTTGGGTGAACCTCCACATTTATTTTGAGCTTAAAAATTAAGAACGCCTTTGGTAAAAAGGAAATGGACACCCGGACGAAGTTGTCTGTACGGCTATACGTTGAGTCACTTTACCGAGGGACTCTGCCACCTACCCCACGGGTAGTGGAGGGAGCTGCCCCGGGCTGGGTGGAGGAACCTGGGAGGGCAAGCTATCGAGGGCACTAGACATAATAGCACACTGGATGGTCACCATCTTATCCTTTTTTTCTAAGACGGAAGTGCCTTAAACTTGCACTGAAAAAGTAAAGTGAGCAAAGAAAGAAAGGGCTTTGTCCCTGGGGTTCTGGGCTTGCTTCTGAGGTCGGGATTTAAGGCAGATGGTAGCAGCTCAGCCTCAGGGGGCAGCACCGGGGACCCCGCGACTCCTGGCACCCTCAGGTTTCCCCTGTGACATCAGAGGCCACTTGCTTTGCTGAAAAGGAGATAGGACAGCCTCGGGGGTGGGGGCGGGTGAACCACAATGTGGAGAAACAGGACTTCTCTTGCACACAGAAATAGTGAAAATTTCTTCTTCGGTCTTCAGACCCAGCCCCGGTCCTACCAACTGCCCTGAACCCCCCTTCCCCTCTGGAAAGATGCCCCCCCACCAATAGCCTTAGCCTTAAGCTCTGTTTTGACGTGTATCCTAGTTTCTCCGAAAAAAAAACGAGTAGCAGTGTGTTACTTTATATCTATAGTTGGCATTTTTATATCAGGAAAGTAATCATGATTTTTTTATTTTTTTAAGTGGCAGCAGTGTGATAAGGTAGAAAGAACACAGGTATTGGAGCAAAAACTCAGGCCCAGATCCCAGGAGTAAGGCTTCTGGAGTCAGGATGGGTCTGTGTCCTGGATTTTACAAATCACCTCCTAGCTGTGTGACTTCAGGCAGGTTTCTTAAGCTCTCTGAACCTCAGTTCCCTCCCCTGTAGGTGATGGTAACAATAACGCCTGTGTCATAGGGGCGCTGTGAAGAGTAAATAGGGTCACACACAGATGAGGCTTAGCACAGGGCTGAGCTCATCAGCATTCGATAAATGCTGGTCTTTTTTACTGTTGCCGTGCTGTTTAGAAGGCGTCCTTCCCGTCATGATTCCATTTTCTACGACCATCACCCAAACTAATCACTCCCTGTAGAGCCCTAACTTATTTTTTTTAAGATTGTATTTATTTACTTAGAGAGCATGCTCGCGCAAGTTGAGGGGTGTGTAGAGGGAGAGGGAGAGAAAGAATCCCAAGCTGACTCCATACCGGGTGTAGAGCCCAACGCAGGGCTCAATCGCACAACTCCGAGATCGCGACCTGAACCGAAATCAAGAGTCGGACACTTAACCGACTGCTCCAGCCAGGCGCCCCTTTGGTTTATGTGTTACTAAAGAAAAGTTCGGGCATACACAGAAACAGCAGCAGAGACTGACAAAACCCTACACACCCTGTTAGAATAGTATCAACCCACGACCAAGGCTGCTTCAGTGCCAACCCACCCCACAGCCCCCCAGACCTCACACCATCGAATCCGTGGGTATGTCAGAATGGTAAGGGCTAGCTTTTTGACAGCATCACCACAATACCATTATCACAACTGGAAAAAATCATGTCGTCAAATATCAGTCACCATTCAAACTTCAATCATGTCGTTAATATCAACTTATTTTTTTTAATGTGCTTGCTTCAGGATCCAAATAGGTCCACATATTGCAATTGGTTGATAAGTCTCTTATAACCTATAGGTTCCTCTTTCATATCTTTTCCTCCTTTCTCTTTTTTTTTTTTTTCCAATTTATTTTGTTGAGGAAGCTGGGCTGTTTGTCCTGTAGGGTTTCCCGAGTCTGGATTGTACTGACTTCATCCTCCTGATGCCGTCAAACATGTTTCTTCTCTGTTTTTCTTATAAATTGGTAGTTGGATCTAGAGTCTCAATGAGATTCAGGCTCAAATCTTTTTGGCAAGACTATTTGGTCAGTGATGGAATGTTCTTCCATCAGGAGGCACGCGACGCCCGGTTGTCTCTCACTGACGTTCCTTGTCCTTGTCTAGGCTTGTCTGTTCATTGGGGGTGGCATGGAGTAGGGGCCGTATCCTAATTCCAGCCCTCCTTCCTTTCTTACTGGAACGCTCCCACAAGGAGAAACTCCCCCTTATCAACATTTCAGGTTGCGTTATTCTTGGTAGTCTTCAGGGAAGAGGGTGGGCTTGCCTTGCCCTTCACACTTGGCCCCTTACGCCTGCTTCCCCTGCTGCTCGGCATGAACGGGGCTGCCAGCTGTGGTTCCTGGCCTTCTCCGGGCTTCTGTGACCCAGCAGATCAGCACCGGCCAGGAGTCTGAAGGCCAGAAAGGAGACTTGAAGGCCCGAGATGAGCATTTCCAAATGAGGTCACTGAAATCCAAGCACATTCGTGAAGAGATGCCCTCCCCTTCCCAACCCCAGGGGACAATGGCTGCTGGAATAGACATGGTGCACAATAACCTGCACAACGTCCTGTGGCTCTCCAAATACACTTGAGTGTCCCACTGGGGAGTGGGGAAGCTCCCTCACCCAACTCCCAGGGAAGCCCCTCAACCGACTATTAACTACCATCATAATAACGCTGAAGAGAGAGAGCTGAGGCTGGCCCCAGACACCAGATCACCAAATCCATTAGAAGATGAAAACGTGGGGGGATAGGCCTCATCCCCCACCCAAGAGTGGCAGCCATCTAGTGTAGACACAGCGCCCGTACGCCATCTCAGAGGCAAGAGGAGCCCCGGCGTGCGGACGTGGGCTTCCTGCTGGCGTCCTGCCATCCCTTGGGGCTTCCTCTTGGCCTCTGTGGAAGCACGACCCTGAAATATTGAGTAGAGGATTGTCCTAACATCAGAGACTCAAGGGATCTCCCATCAGGAACGTCCTTAGAGTTTAGCCTCCAAATCTACATTTTTCTGTTGAAAACCACAGCCCAGTTTGGAGGAACGCCCTTGCAGGCTGCCCTGGGCCTGTGTTTGTCCTTTGACCGCAGGACTTACCACACACAGGTGGTGAGCTAGAATAAGCCCCCTGAGCTCTCCACCCCGAGGTTCCTGCTGAGTCATCTGTCACCGTGGGCCTGGGGCCAGGCTTAGGACCTGGTGACAAGTGACAGGCTGCAGGGTCTGTGAGAAGGCACTGTCTTCAAATCACCGAGACACTGAATTTAGCCAACCCAGTGTGGGGACTGAACCCAGAGATCGGAACACTGGAGCCCCAATCTCTTTAAAAAAGCTCACCTTTAGTACAACACAGGGAATGACATAGGCAATGGTATTATAACGGCTCCATACGGTGCCGGATAATGGATCCCCTGGTGGTGAGCACAGCGTAACGTGTAGACCTGTCCGAGCACTGTGTGGTGCGCCTGAAACCCGCGTAACCTCGTGTGTCAGCTGCACTTCCATTTTGTAAAAATAACCTTTAGGATTCATGTCTTGAGACTGCTTATGACCAAATCACTCCCTCAAAGGTCCCTTAAAAGAGTTTGCTAGAGGGGCACCTGATTGGCTCAGCCGGTTGAGCGTCTGACTCTTGATTTCAGCTCAGGCCATGATCTCAGGGTTGTGAGATCGAGTCCTGCATCGGGCTCCACGCTCAGTGAGGCGTCTGCTTGAGATTCTCTCTCTCCCTCTCCCTCTGCCCTTTGCCCACTTGTGTGCAAGCAAGCTCTCTCTAAAATAAATAAGTAAAATCTTAAAAGAGAGAGAGTTTGCTAGACTACAAGTCCTGTGGGACAGAAACCTAGAGACCCCGGCCAGCAGTGACCACACTGGCAACCAGGATTCCCATTGTGAAGTGTGATTCCTACTTTCTCAGTATGGTCGGGGGATTTGTTCTCTGGCCTACTAAAACTATGTGGAACAGTGTAGCTAATGACTTTGGAAAGGACAACAGCAATGGCTTCCCTTGTTCTCCTCCGCAGGGAAGGCCTTGGAAAAGGCCGGCGGCAAAGAGTTCTTGGAAACAGTAAAGGAGCTTCGCAAATCCCAAGGCCCTTTGGAAGTTGCTGAAGGTAAGCGTGGCCTTGGGCCCGTGTTCCTGCCACAGCCTCACCCTCCCCCCTCCAGCGTCACTCGCTTCATTGCACAATCAGTGTGCCAAGCAAAATACACCACAGTCAAGATGAGACCCACTTGTGCTTCTCCCAGAGAACTTGAGCAGGCCTGTGTAGACCATTTCACACACCCTGGGGATGACAAAGTGTCTGGATAGTTCAAGTCAGTTTACACACAAACTTCAGCCAGAGATGAAGCTATTGGGTAACTTACACTCATCATGGGGTTCCACCATCACCACTGCCGGGATCCGGAGCGCTCCTGTCGCCTCCGGTGAACACCCCTCCCCCCTCCACCGGCCCCTGGCCACCACCAGTCTGCCTTCTGCCTCTGTGGATTTGTCTGGTCAGGACATTGCACGTAAGTAGAATCCTAGGCTCTGTGACCTTTGGTGCCTGGCTTCCTTCACTTCATATAATCTTTTCATGTTGTAGATGCCTTAGTGCTTCGTTCCTTTTGATGGCTAATAGTCCATTTTGTTCATGCATTCACCAGTGGGGTTGTTTCCACCTTGGGCTATTGCGAATAGAGTGGCTATGAACATTTGTGCATAAGTTTTTCAAGGCTTTTTTTTTTTAAGATTTTATTTATTTGACAGAGATAAGCACAGCGAGAGTGGGAACACAAGCAGGGGGAGTGGGAGAGAGAGAAGCAGGCTTCCCACTGAGCAGGGAGCCTGATGCGGGGCTCGATCCCAGGACCCTGGGATCATGACCTGAGCCGAAGGCAGACGCTTAACAACAGAGCCACCCAGGGGCCCATCAAGGCTTTTGAGTAATTTGTTGGCAGGTGGCTCCAACTTCAGATCTGTGTCCTCCCCATATGCACACACACCACCTCACATGGAGTCGGTGCCAAGTGCTGCCCAGATGCCAGGGCTCTAAAGACAATGAAACCCACCCCTGCCCTCAAGCACGGGACTGTCCAGGAGGAGAGACAGACAATAGAAGGGCACAGGGCGGGAGCCCCGCCCTCTCCTCAGGGGAACTGGGGAGGCTCCAGGGAGGATGTAAGACCCCCCCCCCGGGGGCAGGGACACTGTGGGCAGTCAGGCCATCGTGTGTGAGAAGATCCAGGTCATGAGCCAGCAGGGAGCCGGCAGGCAGGAGATCCTATATAAACAAGAGGAGCGCCTTTGAGAGTTTAAGCTGGGGACTGTTGTGCTCAGATTTGATCGCTAGAAAAGTAACGGGGCTTCCAGTCGAGAGAAAACATGAGTCCACACTTTATAATCTGCACATCCCATTCCCCATACAGATAGCAATGATAGAATTTCACATTTAAAATTGGGAGACAGAGCCGCGCTGAGAGATAAGACAAACACACGTGTGGGGAGGGACAGAAGGGCAGCAGGCAGCGGCGGCAGGGCAGGTCGAAGCCAGCAGTGGGGCCAATCTCCAGGGTCCCGGGTTCTGTGCAGAACAGCCCAGGCTGCAGGCCCCGGGACACGGTGCCCCTGGTGCGCCCACGTACACGGTCAGAGTCAAGCCCGTCATGGCCACGGCCTCCTGTGTTTATGCGGACCAACTTCACGCAGCCGGCGCTGGGAAGGCAGCTGACACGGGGGTACACAAAGGCTGTCCACCTGCCCACCCTGGCGAGTGCAGCCATAAGTTCTCCAACACCGGACGTCACTAGGAAACACTTCTCAGAGACTAGGGGGGCATCATGTTATTTCAAATCAATCTTTCAAACCAACCGCTCACACTGCTCCGGAACGCAACAGACACCCATTTGTGTTACAAACACTGTCCCTAGCGGCCATGACCTGCCCAAACCGCCCCAGGCTCCCAGAGCAAGGCCGGGACCCTCGCCACACCCCGTCCCTTGAGGGGCACAGAGCCCCGGCTCCACAAGGAGGCTGGCATAGGGCGGCGGTGCTCGGCTGCGGCCACCACGGCCCCAGGCAGCGGGAGAACGGCCAGTGGATCCGACTGGACCGCTGGGGACCGGCCTGGGGGCCTAGAAAGGAGTACGAATGGGAACAATGAGACGAGGCTGGCATTACTGAACTGCACAGCCCGTTTTGAACCCCTGCTCCCAAGGGGGGCTCCTCAGGTATGTCGAGGCGACCAGAAGACAGTCCCCGGCCGTCGGAGGGGGTGCGACCAAGCAGCACAGCGCTTCTCCATTTACGGAGGGCCCTAAACCACTCGTGCACAAGTCCTGCACTAGACCCACTGAGCCGGGCCCCGGGGCCAGGGCCGGGCGGCAGGGCTTCCCTATTTGCTGAAAGCTGCTGCAGTCCTTTCCTACCACCGCTGTAACGAGTCAGTGTTACTAACACTACAGAGCAGCTGCTGGGCTGGGCCAGGCCTGGCTCCTGGCCGTGTCGCTCCCCGCTATGCTCTGTCCCCCCATCACCTGCTCCTACCTTTCACTTTCCTGCCCGCCCCCCTCTGCCCCGCTTAGAAGGACCCAGGTGATTACATTTAGGGCACGACCCCATAATCCCGGATAATCCCCCCATCTCGAGAGCCTTCACTAAATCACCTCTGCAAAGCCCCTCTTGCCATGTAAGGTGACGCTCCCAGGTTCCAGGGATCTGGACGTGGACATCTGGGGGAGGCCATTCCTCAGCCGTCAGAGATGATTCTGATGGGTACCTCTCCCTGGGAACCATGGTCACTAGGTAGCCGGGTGCCCACTGTCCACAGCAAGCCCAACAGGGCTCCGGCTCTCCGGCAGACGTCCCGTCGCATCAGAGGTGCCCAGCCAGCTCCTCTCGCTTCCCCGTCCGCACACATCTGAGAGGCCTCCGTGAGGTCAGGCCTCAGCCCCTGGCTGAAGGTGAAGGTGTGGGAACTAACCCGCAGTGTTTCTCTCCTGTCCCAGCCGCTGTCAGCCAATCCAGCGGACTTGCAGCCAAATTTGTCATCCACTGTCACATCCCTCAGTGGGGCTCCGACAAATGTGAAGAACAGCTTGAAGAGACCATCAAAAACTGCCTGTCGGCGGCAGAGGACAAGAAACTCAAGTCCGTGGCGTTCCCACCGTTCCCCAGCGGCAGGTAAGACGCGCTCCTCCAGGCGGGCGTGGGAGGCCGGGAGTCCCTGAAACCCAGAGAAGGGCAGTGTTGGAGAGGAGCGGGGGGCGGAGCGTCTCCGAGAGGCTGCCATGGTCAGTGCCCACATCCCCAGCAGCTGCCCCTGTCAGAACACGTGATCGGAAAACCCCAGGCTCGGGGCTCAGCCGGTTAGGCGTCCGAGCCTTGATCACGGCTCAGGTCACGATCCCAGGGTTGGTCGTGAGCCTCGCCTTGGGCTCCACGCTGGTTGAGGAGCCTACTTAAAAGAAAAGGAAACACCAGGCTCACAGGCCTTGCTACTCCGAGTGTGGTCCGTGGCCTGGCCTCGGTGACTCAGCTGTGTTAGAACATTGGAGTGCGGAACCCCAAACCCCCCTCCCCCAGCACTCCTGCCCCCGAAGGCCCGGGGGTCGTGGGGTGCCAGGGTGGAGGGGGGGAGGGCCTGGAGGCCGAGGCCCTCACAGACACACCCAGAGAATGACAGGCTCTGCTCTGGGAGTTAGGAGAAGCAATGGTTCTGATTGTCAGGGACCCCGGCTGAGGGCGAGAGCCACAGCAGGCGGGGAAGGAGGTTGTCCGTCCCCACAGGTAGTCTGTCCTCTCCCGTCACACTCGTAGTTAAAGCGAGCTATCGCTTCCATTTTGAACACGCTCTCTCTTGAGAGGTGCCCCTCTGCAACATAGATAGGGCTTACACACTAAAGATGTTCTCGCAGGGGGAGGCTCGGAGGGGAACCGTGAGGCCTAGCTTCCTGCTGTCATCCCATCTCAAGCTGAGCAAGCAGCGCGGGGTCTCTGCAGCCTGGCCCAGAGGGCACCGCGGGCTGAGTTCTTTGTGGAGCCGGGACCACGTGTCCTGGTGGGTTCTGAGCTGGGACACTACATACGAGCGAGAATTCCTGTCAGGCAGGCTCATCCCGCCCCCACCCGAGGGGGCTCGGTGGCCGACCCCAGAGGACTACGCTGGCTGTGTCCCCGGAGGCGGATGCCGTGGCCCAGCCCCCTGGCCCTGCCCAGAGTCCCCCACACTCGGATCACAGCTGCACGTCCCTATGGGTCAGTGGGAGGGGCACTCGGCGCACACAAAGGAGTTAGGAGACGCACTTCTGAGCGTACATTTTTCCCCTTTCACCAACGACCTGACACCCTAGAGCGGTTTCGAGGGAGCTGTGCGTTTTTGAACACCAGTGATTTCAGACGCTGAGCTGGTCATGGTTTTAAAGCCCGGCTCGACTTGAGGCCGGGGACAGCGATTCATCCCAGCACGAGTGCTGCTCAGCGGCCAGCCCCATGCCTTGGGCTGAACGTACCGTGCCTGTCAGAGCCAGCGTGGCTCTCGTAAAGCAGGGCCTGCCTGCCGCGTCCCAGGCTGCCCCTCCGCCTCGGGGCAAAGGAGGTGGCACGGGACCCCGCCTGCCCACGGTGAGACCCCCGTGAGACAGAACCAAAAGGCCTGGTGCCGAGATCAGAAGGCACCGAGCTGCCCCCGCCCCAGGCTGAGGGCCCAGTGACCCCGTGGGTCCTGGGAACCAAAGTGACATCAGCTCTTCTTTTCCTCTGGCACAGAAACTGCTTCCCCAAACAGACGGCCGCCCAGGTGACCCTCAAAGCCATCTCGGCCCACTTTGACGACTCGAGCGCGTCCTCGCTGAAGAATGTCTACTTCCTGCTCTTTGACAGTGAAAGCATTGGCATCTACGTGCAGGAGATGGCCAAGCTCGACACCAAGTAGCCGCCCGCCCGCCCGGCCGCGCTTGCCCTCGGAGCAGGATCCAAGTCACGGGAGTGGGGCTTTCTTTTTTAAAAGGAGAGAGGAAGGGTGACGGCAGGGGAGTGGAGGGCAGTTGGCAGGGCAGCGGGTCACGGGGGCCGCGGGAGCGGGGCCTGCCCACAGAAGGAGCCCTCTGCCTTTTCTATTCTCGTTTAAAAGAGCCTCCATCTGTAATTAACCAGGTCTCCACGAGGGGTTTCTTTCCATGTGTTCTCTTCCTGTTGTTTTAGAACTTTTTTAAAAGACAGACTTCGTTTTAGATTTATAGCATTGACTTTTACACACACACAAAAAAAAAATCCTTTCAAAATTCTTAAAACCTTGTTTCTCCTTTTTGCAAGGGAGGAGGGCGTAAAAGCGGCTTGGGCTTTTGTTTGGCTGTCTGTGTTCGCGGCGAGAAGAAAAAAAAAGGGAAATGCCACTCACTGGTGCTTTCCTTTTGTTTTTAGTGCCCCCCCCCCCCGCCATGACATCTGTATCTACTCCTAAAAAGATTTTGCTTCAGGCTTTTGTTTTGTTTTGTTTTTTAAAGAAAAAGAAAATGAAAGGAAAAAAAAAAAAAAAACAGAAGATCCAGTGTCTTTTCTTACAACACCATAGTCTTTTATTGCAACATTTTCCTCAGTTTAGAAAACTGTGTCCCCACGAGCGGACGCTTGTAAAATGTTATAAACAGAACAAGGCCTGTCACGCATGGGCTGAGACGCCCACCCTGCTAGGCCCCAGGTCAGACAGCATGGAATGGTCTGTGCTGCTCAGGCAGCAGGTCCTGCTTCCAGAAGGGGAGCCTGGTTGGCCTTGGTCCACAGGAAGGGAGTCCTGGGTGAAGCCTCCGGTGGGGCAGCCAGCCTACGGGAGAGTGGCACAGGTCTCACGGAGGCCTAGGGAACACATGGAACTGACCTGGGCCACAGCCCCGGCAGGGAGGGCTGAGAGCCCCAGGGAGGGGGGGGCCCAGGACCCTGGCCAAGGACCCAGAGGTCACCATCAAAAGTGAGCAGGGCCTGCACTTATTCGGATGAAATCACCAACCACTTCCACCATGGAGATTTAACCTATGCCTTCCAAAACAGACCCCCTCCGATGGAAGTCCTCTCCCAGATAGAGGAGTCATTTATGTACCTTCACACGGAGGGTGGCAGGCTGGGCCCCCACAAGTGTCCCTGGGGTTGGCCAGGAAACCAGAAGCGCAGAACCCCAGAGGTTCCCACAGGGTCCCCCGCCCCCAGCATCAGCTGGAGTTGTGTCCCTTACAAAATCAGCTGAGACAGCAGCCTAGAAGCACACAGGGGTTCACCGGGAAGCCCCCCTCTACTCCCTGAATGTGGGCCCAATGGCAACCCACCCAAGGGTCCCGTTAGCTCAGCTGCCTCTCCTTAACTTCTCCAGCGGCTGGCAGGCAGGCCAGGCTTCAGTCTTAACCCACTAGCTTTGTAAAAACTCACTCTCGGTTAGGACGGGCTAACCGGGAGGGGAGTCTATCTAATTCTTCCTTCTTGAATATAACCTATGGTATATAAGCAGGACCTAGAAAAGGAAATATAGAAAGTTTCGTGAAAATGAAAGACTGTAGGGACTAATAGTTTGAAATTAGGCTCCTATTAACAACCTGAGTATTGCGGAATGCATGGGCTTTCCCTCCCGGGATGGGACGGGAGAGGCCAGGATGCAGGCCATCTCTACCCCAGCTCCCCTTCCTTAGCTGGTCTCACCATGCAGGCTCCGCTTCCTGCCCTAACAGACAGCATGCCAGCCACCAGAAGACCCTGCTCTCTCCTGCTCTGAGAGCCCTGAACACCAACACATGCGCACACACACAAACATGCACGCACACGCACAAGGAGCCTGGGGTAGAGAAGGCCGGCTATACCCTCCCCAGGACCAAGTGAGCCCCTCAGCCAGCACAGCTGCAGGCCGAACTCTCCAAACCCAGAAAGAATCCTCTAGGAAGTGTCTTTTTTCCAACGGCTCTCTCTCTCTCCCTCTCCCGGTTTTGGCTTTCTGTAAGTTGTGTGTCTGATCAGTATACCCCTGGCGTCTTACTCCGGGAAAAGGGCTCCTGCCCTTTGGCATTCGTCAGGCGGGTACCGCTTGTCAAGCAATCTGTCCCCCCGGCAGTACCTTGTCTCCCGCCCCGCTCCGGCTCAAGGTGGAGACTGCCGCATGGTCTTCCAGCTTGAGGAGACGAACAGGTCCCGGCTCTTGGCCAGCCGAACCATGAACCGCCCCACGTAGAAGCCACTGATCTGGCCCACACCGTCGTTTCTCCCCATGGCCAGGAGGAACGTCAGCGCCCCTGTGGAGCAGACACGTGCGCACCAACCAGATCCCCGCTCGCCATCCGTGGGCCTGCAAGTCCCAGGGCACAAACCCTCCCGGGGCCTCCCATGTAAGGACAGGGAAATGCGTAAGACTTTTGGGAAGATGGGCGAGGCCCTGAGGTACGCGGGGCTTCCTTACCTGGCTTGTAGGCCTTGAGGGGCCTCTGTTTCATGGAGCTGACGATGTTGGCCACGGCAATGCTGGCATGGAGGCCAGCGTGATAAGCCATCTTGGGCTCCTTGACATCTGCACAGTCGCCAATGGCGTAGACGCGGCTGCAGCCCTCCACCTGCAGATGCTCGTTCACTCTCAGAGCGCCGTTGCTGGCCAGGTGACTATCTGCCGGGCAAAGCCAACCCAGAAACCCTGTCACGTGGCCAGTAGAACACGGAGAAGAGATCCCTCTGGTGCTGGGTAAGCCACCCTCCGAAGGCACATCCTCAAGAGGCAAACATCCACCAAATTTAGTTCTGCCTCAAGTCCCCACCTCAGAACTCTTCCTGCAAAGTCAAGGTTACTATTCCAGGATGGAAACCGGCAGCACGTGCCGTTTTATACAACACGTGTGACTCTGTAAAGTCACTGCAGGACAGTGACTATGCTGCAACTCAGCCAAGTCTTGAATTTCCCTTTGAACATGGATCAGATTTTTTAAGTCAGTGCAGGGCTCTAGTAAATGATGAACTTTTTAAGGGACTTAAAAGAATTATTTTTGAAAATATAACATTAAGACAAAGGGGTATAAAATTCTGGGATCTCTGGCCACTACAGGCACTCAATCCCACCCCCACGCATGGCCTGGACTAGCTTCCTTCTTCTGGGGTCCGCCAGTTCTTCCCCGCAGGACCCACACAGGTGCTCCTTGTCCAGGAGGGTGCTATGGGGTAAACAATGGCGACCTGGGGACACAGCAACCATGGGGCCTGAGGAAGAGTCACAGAGTCTCCAGCTCACCCACGGAGGCCAGGACGCCAGCCCCGACCCCCAGCCTCCAGTTAGCTGGGGAGTTCACTCTTGAACCTGAGGCCACATTATTTCCTCTACTCCCCAAATGGTCATTCCAAGCTCAGTGGCCAAAGGTCTGGACCAGGGTCTGGGGAAAACAGCACACCTGTGAATAAAGAGTAAAAAGCCTAACCCAGGAATTTCGTCCCCTCCATGTTCACAAAAAGTGAAGCAACGGATCTTTCCTTCGCTCTGAAACCTGTTCCCGGCTCTCACCACGAGGGGGCGGGCTCCGATTTTTGAAAGACGGGTCACTTAGGCCACCTTGGCCTAAGTCATGGCCACAATGCAGGAAGCGTAGCAAGAGTGGACCCAGGCCTGAATGTAAAGTTTGATGTCACCATTCAGAAGAGACCTGAGCTGTTGGGAAGGAGTGGGGAGGAAGGCAGGGCGACGCTGATTTCCCGGGGGCAGAGGCCCGCAGGGCCTGCAGCGGCCGGACAGTGAGAAGGCGGCCTGGGGAGCGGGCCCCGGCTCCTGCTTACCGAATGCACTGTGGTAGGCCGAGCTATTGATCTTAATACCGTTGCAGACGATCACCAAGTTGGTGGCCACCTCTGTGCCTTTGTCTGTGTGCACCTGGATGCACTCTCGATACTCGTTAAGAGGCAGATCCTCCAGGTTGCTCACCCGCTCACCTGTCAAGTGAGATCCATGAGCTGGAGGCCGGCAGGGGGTGGGCACGGCATCAAGGGGCCCAACAAAGCAATCCTTCCCTCCTGCCTTCCTTCCTGCCCCTCTGCCAGTCCACCCTGCTGCCCCAAGAAACAACAAGGTGGACATCTGACCCCCACAGTGGATCCAAAGGGAGGAAAGTTCCCAGAAGCAGTGTGGGGAAGTGAAGCTGAGTTTCCCAAGAAGTTCTGGGAAAAGCTATTTGAAGAAAACTTCAACCACACCTCCCGGAATGTCAGCCACACCACCCTAACCAGGCAGCAAGACTCTCCAGGCGCACGGCCAACTAAGGTGAGAGCAAGGAAAGTCCAGAAGCTCGCCTACACTCTACACCGCCTCAGGGTAAAGGTGGTTGGTCACAGTACTGCACAGCCAGATACAAAGAGACCATGAGTGGGGAGGGGTCTGCACAGGGCAGAAACGTCACCGCTCCCTGCGGAAAGCGCAGAGGCTGAGCCCCGTGAAGTGTGCCCGTCATGGCGCCAGGTTTAGGGACCCACTGCCTAACCAAGCTGGGTGGTGCTCTCCCCTCCTGCTCTCGACAAAGCTCACACTCCTCAAACAAAAAATACAAAGCAAAAAAGCAAAAAAAAAAAAAAAAAAAAGCCAGTCTACCAGAGAGACATAATTCAGGTCAAATCCTTGAGGTGATTTTTTAAAGCACTCAGCAAAGTGGTACCACCTCCGCAGGACAGTGTGCCGCCTCCTGGCCTGGGGAGGCGGTGAGTACCAGGGCCTCTGCCCAGTCTGCAGACAGACACAACCTCCAGCTGGACAAGACTCAAATGCTCAACCCCAGGACCCAGAGGGCCCTCAAGCTGGGGCAGTGAGCCTCTGAGCCCGATCTCACCGGACCAGGGAGAGGGGCGGGGGCACGTACTCAGCAGGAGCTGCACGCCTTTCTGGAGCAGGATCTCCTTCGCTTCCTGCCGGACGCAGGGCAGGAGCTCCTTGTCGGCAAGGGCCACGTGGGAGTGGATGAGAGTGACCTGGACAAGCGACCACGGGGCAAAGAAGGAGCCACTGAGTCTTATAAAGAGAGGCTTACAAACACGTCGGTCTGTCTCCCTCACCTCCTCCCCACCCGCCGGTTTACTGAGGCCCCAGAGAAGTCACCTGCCCAATGCCGGAACCAGGTAAGGCGAGCTGGGCCGGAGCCCACATCTAGTCTAGGACTGTCTCAGAAGGAGCCAGTGCTCCACAGCCCACAGCCACCCACCCCAGAGCCGCAGGGGGAATTATTTTCAAGCATTTCGGGCACTGATAATTACAGTC